TAGAAATCATTATAAAACTATAAGAAATGGGCCAGGCACGGTGGCACACACCTGTAATCCCAGCTCTTTGGGAGGCCTAGGCGGGTGTGTCCCAAGGTCAGGAGTTTGAGACCAGTCTAACTAACATAGTGAAATCCTGTCTCAACTAAAAATACAAAAAATTAGCCAAGTGTAGTGGTGTGTCCCTGTAATTCCAGCTACTCTGGAGGCTGAGGCAGAAGAATTGCATGAACCTGGGAAGTGGAGGTTGCAGTGAGCTGAGATTGTACCATTGCACTTCAGGCCTTATGACAGTGCAGGGCTTCCTCTGAAAAAAACAAAAACAAAATTAAGAAAACAAAACTATAAGAAACGATGGGGAGGTGACTTCCAGGACAGCTTGAATCCAAGCTCACAGGTTGGAAAGGAAAGATAGAGAGGAAGATGGGGGGAGAGGAGGGGGAGAGAGAGAGGAGGGGGAGAGAGAGAGGAGGGAGAGAGAGAGGAGGGAGAGAGAGAGAGGAGCGGGAGAGAGAGGAGGGGGAGAGAGAGAGGAGGGGGAGAGAAGAGGAGGGGGAGAGAGAGGAGGGGGAGAGAAGAGGGAGAGAGAGAGGAAGGGGAGAGCACAGGCTGATTCCGCCTCAAGGTCTGCATGAGCCCAGACCATGGTCCCAACCTTCAGTTTCGACCTTGGAATTGTTGTTAAAAGGGAGAGGAAGGCTGACAGTGTTTTCCACAGAAATTATTTCTCTTGCACATCTTCATTACAGAAGCAACTACAATAATGTCCGCTTGCACACACAGGCCCTTACCCTCGGTGATGGGCCAGTGTTGGGGGGCCATGGTCAGGTGTTAGGGATGGGGTATCGAGTCAGCAGAGTGACATTGGGAAGGGTCCATGGATCTCAGCCCAGCTCATTAGCTGGCGGCAGGAGGCCTGTGGCTGAGCAGCGATGAACCATGTGGTTGACTTTGGAGGCTGCAGGCCCTGTCCTGGCTAAGGAATGTTGAGAGTGGGGTGCAGGTGGGAGGCAAGGTCTCACCTCCCTCCCTCTCATCTAGATTTAGTTGGTCTTTGGCTGGTTCCATTAGACAATATTCAGGTGTGTGCTTACAACCAATGCCTCCCAAGGGCCTGCTGAGATGCAGCCTAGGAGAGACTGGGCAGCCAGGACGCCACTTGGCAGCAACGCTGGTCTGCAGAGCTGGGAGACCTGCCCTGGGCTCCTCCGCCCTTCCTTGGGGCTCTGAATTGCTCCCTTGGCTTTCTGGCGGCCTCATGGTACTGGATTCCCACTAGCCTTGGGTTTTGAAGATTCCAATCCCCATGTGTTTGGGGCATTTCCCCTTTTCTCTCTTGTTTCAAGGTCTTTACCAAGAGCCACCCTTGACCCATGTTGCTCACCACATCTGCCCCACCCCAACTCCCTGGCCAGCATGGGAGCTGCTGGGGACCAAGCCCTGAGAACCCCCCCATCCCTGCCCCCTTGCAGCCTTCTCCACACTGTTCCCACTGATGCCCAGAGAGATCCTGAGTTATGACTCCCCACCTCCCAGTCTAGGGGGCTGAGGCAGTGCTCCCACCTTGTGGTGGCCCAGCTGAGAACAAATGATGCCCTCCAGTGCACAGTCAGGCTGGGATGGGTCCTTTGCTTCCACAACGGAAACCTAGAGGGAAGTCAGTGTGTGGGGAAAAGAGAGTTCTAGGTCGTCTATGCCCTGAATGGTTTATTTTCAAGACAGCTGCTCAATCTAGCTTTCTACAGGATGAAGGAGCCAAGTGTCCATCATTAGACACCCATGGAGAGTGAAAGGAGGGAAGAGAGGAGGATCTTTCAGCTGTGGATGGCTCTTTGGAGCCACCTTCATGGGAGGGGATCAGTTCTGGTTCTGTCGTAGCCTCAGCCCTGTAGCAAAACCTTCTTGGGGCTGTGCCTCTCCCCAGGCCCCTGCCAGTGAGCCCGACCCTTTGCACTTACTTCCTAACATTAATTAACCCTGTCCCACTCATGGACATTGTCATCTTGGTTCACCCATTCCCCTTCCTCCTGTGACAGGACCATTGCTGGCAGTGGACAGATGAAGTCCTTGCTCCAGCCTCCTTTTGGGCTCTGCCTCTCACTCCCCAAGGGGAAGGGTCCATTAGAAAGTGGCCCATGCCATGGTACATGGTCTCTTCACGGCCACACTGGGACTCTCAGGTAGAAATTAGCCTTCCCCCTTTATGAATAATTAACAAGTCGTAATAGCACCTGTGGAAAGAATGTCCTCTTCCTTGCTGGTTGCCCCTCCCAGACCACACAGATAGCAACATCCAGGGTGCAGGCTGGGGCAGGGCATGGTGTGGTGGGCAGCAGCAGTGCCCAAGATCTACAGAAAAGCCACAGACTCTGCCTTTGGCAGGCTCTTTCTGCGGTTAGCCCTGTCCAGGGCAGAATGAAGGTCATTTCTAGTCTGTCTCCTGGGCAAGCTCTTCAAATCCAGGGATGAAATACATTCTGAAGGGGCCAGCCCTCGTTTTGATTTCATTGTGTCCCCAAATCCAGGACTTTGCAGGTGACAGGGAATCAGGCTTCTAGTGGGCATACATTGCTTTTTATCTATAGGTGGAGAAGATTCCAGAAGGAGAAGATTCTCTGGCTTCCCTGTTCTCTCTGGGCAATTGGTTCCTCGGTTCTTTCCCCAGCTCCATATTGTCTCAGTCTCCTGGATCCCAGCGCCCCTCCAGGCCTTCTATGTGGGCCCCTAGATCACACTACTCACCTTCACACTCCCACAGCTGAATCCAGTGGCCGGCTTGCTGATGCAAGCTCTAATTCTCAGCCAGAGCAAGCCCTCGGATAGCCCACCCAGCCTTTTCACTTCAGATGGTACCATGTGGGTGTTTCCTGGCACCATTTTCTCTCTGCGTTCTATATGCTTCCAATGCAGGAGGTCCCGGGATACTCCTGTGTGCCTGGTGACATCCAGCACTGTGTTTCCGCTCCACTGAGATGTCCCATTTCTCTCATCGCCCTTCACAGGGCATCAAGTCTCCAGCAAAGGGAGGCAGCAACTTTGACCAACCAGACAACAGGATCTGCAGGTTCAGATCTCACCAGGAATAGCCCAGACTTCAGCTTGCATTTTTGAGTATCAGGGCCCCAATCCCTCAGGGACTCAAAGTTTGGAGTTATCCTAGCCCTGCCAAGAAGTAAGGGTGCTGGTGGGAAGTGTCTGCTGGCTGTTTATGAACCTCTGGTGTCCCGGGCCTCTCTCCACTGGACATGGCTGCATCTCTGACTTACAGATTGCAATGTGCTGCCCTGCATAGCTGAACCGTTTCTGACATCTGCTAGACATCCTGTCCATGTGCCCTGTCCCGTTTTTGATGACAGTGAGTTCCCATAGCCTATGCTTATTCACAACAATAGTGCCTAGGGAGTGCCCATGAAGCCCTTTTGTCCTGCTCCCTTGCTCTGCACTTAGGTAGCTGCTAAGTGGATTGGTTCCTGAGAATCTGCATTTAGGAAGCTCTGGGCTATACAGGCATCATCACAGGGTGCAGACAGGTGAGACGTTCAGACCTTAGAGGAGCTATGGCAGGGAGAGTGGCTTCCACCCTGAAGCCACCCCATACCTGGAGGAGCTGCAGGGCCCTGCTCTGCTAAACGGCCTTTGAGGCGGGTGGGGCTGGTTCCCAACTGGGCAGCTCTTGAGAAGCACACAAGGCCAGTTTGTGTACCCATTGTCTGCTCTGTGTCTCTGTTGGTCCCTCTGTCTCTTCCTTTTCACATTTCTACACATATACTGGTGTTTGTGTTCCACAAGGCAAATGTCCACTCTTCACCTTGCAGACACGTAGCCGTTCATATCCTCCTCAGATATTTTTAAACTCAGTGCTGGCTCATTGGCAACATGTCCTTAGCCTTGCCTCCCTACAATTCATCCTCCCAGAGCTTCCAGCTGATCCACAGCACACATGCTGAGCTCCGATACTCCACCCCGATGCTCCCCCATCCTTCACTGGCTCTTGCTGTCCTACAGCAGAGGTAGCAAATTTTTAGTGCCTAGGCTACCCTGCTCCACCCCTGCAGTCACAAGGGACATTGCTAACTGATCCTGTCACCTCTTTGCCCTGATGCCACCTCGGAATCCTTCGTAACACATGCCCTGAAATTAGCACACTATCAATGAAGTGAAGATGACTTATGAAATACAACCTACAGGTTTTACTTCCTATGCTTCAAGGTGGAACTCAGCCTCTGGAGAGTGGCATTCCAGGCTTTTCCTGACTCCTCCAGCCATTTCCCTTCTGCCCTCTGCAAGCTCTCTGGTCCCCATTCCATGCCTTTGCTCCTTCTTTTCCATCTGTCTAGAATGTTCTTCATCCCCTGTCTCCTGGCAAACACTTCCTCATGCTTTAAGAACTCTATGAAGCCTCCTCCCCTCCCCCAGCACTCATGTGCTCACTCTGCCCCTCTCTCTCTCTTTCTATACACACACACACCCACACACACACACACACATACACATACATAAATCTGTATACCTACATATGCACATATTACTGACTGTGAAACCCCAGGAAAGCTTACTAACAAGGTCACTGAGAGTAAGGATGCTGCCTCAGTGACCAGCAGCGACTCATATGTGCATGTGGAATCACAGTACAAAGAAAATGTAGGTTCTGTGCTCGCTAAATAGCACTGACCTTCATGGCGCTACAGGGTGGATGATGGGCTATTCACAACACAGATATGGGAAGGGGTCTTTCTTTACCTGCCCCAGTATAGAGAAAAGCTGTATGCATTCATTAACTGCAGCTTTCAAAGTACTGATCCTCTCCATACACTCTATGCTTTCTATCTTCCTTCAGTAAATTCCCCCCCACACACACTTTTTTTGGCCAATTTGTCTCTTGGCTGAAATCTTTTTCCCAATACAAACAAAGGGTTGAGGATTTCTGCGCTTCCTAGTAGCACTAATGCAGCCACAGCAACTTTCTGTAAGTGGTTTCATTGTATGTTTTTTCCATCCTGTTATTTTTAAGGTTTTATTTCCATTGTAATAAGAACACTTAACATGAGATCTCTTAACATGAAATCTACCCTCTTAATAAAATTTTAAGTGCATTATACAGCATTGTTAACTGTAAGTGAAATGTTGCACAGCACATCTCTAAACTTTATTTATCTTGTATAACTGAAGCTTCATATCCTTGAGCAGACTCCCCATTTCCTTCTCCCTCTGCCCCTAGCAGCAAGCATTCCACTCCATTGCTATTAGGCTGACTATGTTAGACCTCACACAAATGGGGGAGCATTTCTCCTCCTGCAACTGACTTATTTCACTCAGTGCAGTGTCCTCCAGGGTCATCCACATGGCAAGATATAATTATCTATGAATTTGAACAGGATCCCACTGCATCTGTACACCACATCTTCTGTAAACACTCACTGATCAGTGGACCGTAGGCTGTCTCCCTGCTTTTGAAACTGTGATAATGCTGCAATGACTAAACGTGTGACGCTATTCCTGCCAGATCCTAATTTCCATTCTTTCAGATGAATACTCAGATGTCTTCTTTGTTTTAAGGGTGTATATTTTCATTTCGTTTGTCAGTCCAAGTGAGTGTCTGCCAAGGCTCTATCACTTCAGTCACAAGAAGCCGAGACTTGCCCCTCATCTCTGATTTTCACAGGTTTTGTCTCACCTCTCAGCCTCCTGCCTCCTGTGGATTGGGATTCCACATCTGCCATAACAAGGACTGCTGTGGGCTAGAAATCCTCAATGTCCTGTTTCTTTTCCATCCCTGTGACATTATAAATTATATATTTGGTCTTTGACCACAACTCCTAAAACATTTAGAATCACCAAAGTGATGCCTATTTGTATGCCAGTGAGAAAACTGATGGCTGGTAGCCCCTAGGTAGCTTTAGGATGGGGGCTGGTCACCAGAAAGACCAAGGCAGGGTTAGAGGATTGGGACTTTCGGCCTCGTCTCCCAACCTTCATGGAGGGAAGAGGGGCTGCAGGTTAATCACCAGCAGCCAGTACTTTACACCATCAAGCTTGTGTGATGAGGCCTCCATAAAAACCCAAAGGGGACTGGGTTGGGAGAGTTTCTGGGGGACTAAACGTGAAGATGATCCACCCCTTTCCATACCTCTCCCCTGCTTATCCATAAGAGTAACTCCTCATCCGTTCTAAGTTTATCCTGAGATTGCAGCAATTCAGTCATCTTCGGGCTTCACTTTTATTTTTGTTCTCTTGCTATTTCTATGACATTTGCAATGACTTCCTCCACTGAAGTTTTGAATCCCTCAAAGTCATCCATGAGATTTGGAATCAACTTCTTCCAAGGACACCTTTTCATCTGTGTGCTTGGTTATATCCTTGATAAGAAACAAGCAAGTTTAAGTAAGCATTCTCCTGAGCTCCGCAAGCCATTCAAGCAAATTAACTGAAGCCAAGGAGGGATTGTGAGATCTTTCATTTATACCTGTTTGGTCAAAAGCACAAGTGAAGCAGCCTGGGTTTGTGATTGGCATAAGAAGTGGAGCACAGTCTTGGTGAAAGAGCCCTCAAGCTGTAAGATCTGACCCCCATCTTCATGTAGAAAGTGTCAGAACTGAGATGACTGAGAGGACACCCGGGGCGGGGTGGGGAGTCCACTACAAAATTGATGGCTTGCTTTGTGGGAGCAAAAACTCCCCACACATTTGGTCTTGAGAGCCTTCTGCACTGGTTGTTGTGGTGAGCAAAGATGATCAGTGCTCTTTCCACTCAGCCCCAGGATGCTGAATGACATTCACAGCACTTTCAGCGTCCTGGGGCACGGGCGGGTCTACTATCACTGTGTAGCCTGTGCTGAAGTCCACACCTTCCTACTGGTTTTTCCTTTGTGGTGTCCCAGTCATTCATCCTGGAGAAGGTTCCTGCTTACCTTGCAGACACGCTCCGAACCTGCAGACTTCACAAGCTGTCTTGGGTATAAATGTGCATGAGTTTCCTCTTTGACTTCACAAACCTCAGCATCTTTTCCCTGGGCCCCCAACCAAAACTCATCCTGTGACAGGGACGCAAACACACATCAAGGCCACATGCCCAGACACATGAGATGGCCAGAGTATTTTCCACCCGAGCTTCGTGCCTGCGTGACAATGATCAGACTGAGATAGTTTATCTTAGTAGTTAAGCATAAATATTGGTGGGATAGAAGGCCACCGATTCAGGGAAGATCTCAGCTCCTAGCTCCAGGAGGGAGAAGTGCCTGCAGAAGTTTTGCCTAATTCTGGTCCTGGTGACAAGAGGGAAGAGTGGGTCTAGGGGTCCTAGAGGGATCAGACAAGAGGCTTGGGCCTCATTTCCCTGGGGCCAGGGGCCCTGGGCTGCACTGGGCTCCTTCTGCCTCCTGAATGGGAATCCTCACCCTCAGCCTTAGACAGGAGCCCAGAGTAGTAAAGGAGGCCGCATGGCCAGATCTAGAACAAGAGTTCCCACAGAGACCCCTGCCCGCTGTGGGAAGCTGTGGGAAACAGCAGGCGTCACTGCGTGGGGCTTCTCCTAGGAGCTGGGGGCCCAAGCCACAGTATCCACAGGACTCTGCTGCTTGCTCCAGTGGCAGAAGGAGGTGACCCTCAGTTCTAAAAGATGGGGCTGGCTGAGTGAGTGCTGAGTGCATCAGACCCTTCAGAAGCACCCAGGCCGCCTCTGCAGGCACAGAGCCTGACACAGCAAGGGCGCGAGCACCGGGCAGGTAATGGTTACCAATCCCTGCTTCCGGCATCTGAGGCGCCTGTGCTGTCTCCTCTGCTGACACTCGCCTGCGCATCATCTCAAGGAAAGACACACACGAACTCACAATAATCAAATAACGAAATGGGCCCGCAGTGCCTGTTCACTCGTTGTTGAAATTTTACTACTTTCCTCAGGTTAGAAAACACTTCACCGTGTGTTCCAATGACCGCCTGTGTTATTTGCTGCGTTTCATGGTTGTTTTCTTTTAGATGCATTTATCATTTTAATGAGAGTAGAACAATAAACATCCTGAAATTTTAGAGAATTCTATTAAAAGCAGTATCGCCTTTTTCTGTTTCGCTTGCTGTCTCCACCTCCCCTCCTTCTCCTTCCTTCTCCACTTGAAGAGAGTTCTTTTTATCTTCTTCCATCTCAGCTACTCAGTCCGGAGCCGGTGCAGCTGCTGCCCGGGGCACACTCAGAGCAGGGTCCTGGGGGCCGGCAGCCAGAGCAGCGCCGCTGGGGCGGGATGGGTGCGTGGGTTGCGGAGGAGCCAGGAGAGCGGAGGGCAGGCCGCACAGCCCCGCGACCCGGCAGCCCAGCCCGGCGGGCGAGACGCAGCTCTGAGAGCCACCGCCTGAGGGAGCCACCGCCTGAGGGAGCCGCCGCCGCTGAGAGCCGCCGCCTGGGGGAGCCGCCACCGCCTGGGGGAGCCGCCACCGCCTGAGGGAGCCACCGCCGCTGGGAGCCACCCGGGAGCAACAGCGGCGCTGGAACCCGCCAGGCCCATTGCACCCCGTGGCGGCTCTGTGGGTGCCGTAGACCCGGGAGGGGTGGAGGGAGCCCGCAGCGCTGGCGGGACCGCGAGGATTTGCTGGCTCTGTCTGAGCTGCGGGGTCTCGGCGCGGGGCAGGAGCAGGTAGGGAAAGCTGGGGCCGCAGCGAGCACGGACGGGCTCACTGGGTGCTGGCTCTCGGCCTCCCTCAGAGACCTCGGGGCCGGGCAGTGCGGCGGTGGAGGGCGCGGGGTCTGACCCGGTGGCTGCCGCAGCAGCAGGTCTATCGACCCAACCCCGCCGAGCCGCCTGAGGCCCGCAGCATCCTCCATCTCCACTGTGGTGGCATCCGCTTCCGTGACTGTCACTGTGCACCCTCCGCCTGTCGGCGGGACAGAGCAGGACCCCCAAGCGGGAGGGCTGTCCTGGGCCTGACCACGGGCGGCTCGTGGGTCCTCACGTGCCTTTGCAGACCCACGGTGAGAGGAGGGATTGGAAGGCGGACGTCGCAGAGCGGCGGGATGTCCCGTCGGGACAAGGCGGACGTCGCAGAGCGGCAGGATGTCCTGTCGGGACAAGGCGGAGGTGGCAGAGCGGCGGGATGTCCCGTCGGGACAAGGCGGACGTCGCAGAGCGGCAGGATGTCCTGTCGGGACAAGGCGGAGGTGGCAGAGCGGCGGGATGTCCCGTCGGGACAAGGCGGACGTCACAGAGCGGCAGGATGTCCCGTCAGGACAGGCCCTGGGGCAGCGGCTCCACTGAGGGACTAAGATCCCGAGCAGGCCGGGCGGCGGCTCACGCCTGAATCCCGCCCTTGGGGAGGCGGAGGCGGGTGGATCACCTGACATCACGGGCTGAGACCAGCCTGGCCCACACGGTGAACCCGTCTCTACTAAAGACACAAAGGTTCGCGGGCGCGGTGGCGGGCGCCTGCAATCGCAGCTACTCCGGAGGCCAAGGCACCAGGGTCTCTTGAACCCGGGATGGGGCGGCTGCATGAGCCAAGATGGCACCACTGCACTCCAGCCTGGGCAACAAGAGCGAGACTCCATCTAAAAAAAGCAAAAGAGGACAAAGATCGGAAGCCCCTGCGCCCACATCTTTCCAGAACTTCTCGGCGAGAACTGCTGGCAGTTCCGGAAAGACGCCCCGAGCCAGGGCAGCAGCGCGTGGTTGCGGTGAGTGACTGTGTCATTTCCTTAAACATGTCTGTCAGTATTTAAGAGGTGTGCATGCGCGTGACACAGGACGGAAGGACGTAAAGTACAACGATCTGGGGCTTCTCCACCCCTGCCCCGGAGTGTGGACGCTGCAGTGCGGCCTTTCCTTGTCTGTGCTTTGGTCTCTGGGCCACAACCGAGCTCCAGCTTCGCTCAGTCCTACATGTCAGCAGACGTTCCGTTTATCCCAGTGGCTTCTCTAGGTGCGGTTGTGTGGCGTTCTCCAGTGGCCGTGCGTGTGAACACGTGTGATTTCCCAGTGAGCTCTACTGTGCTTTGTTTGTATTACCTGTTTTGTTTCGTTTCTCCTCGTTGTTTGTAACCCTTAGTAGGCTCTGACCTAGTCAGATTGGAAGAAGCATAAGCATCTTCTATTGCTTTGTGCTGGGTGAGGGTGAGGGCTGGCCGTGAACTTCCCCCTAATCCTTTCCAATGAGCCCAGGAAAGGCCCGGCTGGCCTCGTGTCCACAGCATCTCTTACTATCATTGCTTGTCATCCACGCTCCAACTTGTGCTGCAGAGGAAACAAGTTCCTTCTCACGGAGCATCATAATGAACACCGAAACTTCAGGGTGTGGAGCTAACATCTGTTCAGCATCGCGGCTCTTAAAGAATTGGGTAACATGCCTAATGGTTAGACTTGGCTGGGCCATGAGAGGATAGTCTAAAAAGCATGTAATATTGTGTCCCTCCCACAACCAACACACACATGACCCGTCCCCCAACACCCCCAAATTTAAGAGTAGATTGCAAATCTTTTGGAGACCATGGCCCAGGTATAAAAACCTGTTCCGTTTTCCTGGGATTTAAACTCCATCTTAGTGAATGGAACGGCTCACGGGGACTTTCTGGATCTCTTTACATTTTCTTTAAAAGTAAATGGTGGGCATGCATTGCGGTGATGCAGAGGAGGCATTCTGTGACATACGACCTCGGGAAGGATTCTCCTCAAGGCATCAGTGTTGGAATGCACACTTCCTAAATGAACCATCATTGTCTCAGTCCTCCCCATCAACAGCGCTCTTTCAGTGTGATGTGGAAAAGCAGGAGGATGGCATACACCCCACCGAAGGATGTAGGCGGAGGCAGATCTCTCAACCAGGCATATTTTCAAAAAGTTGCTTCTATACTGCTCTTCTTTTGCTGTGAGATGTGGGCTCCCTCAATCTCTTAGCCAGAGACCAGCACATGTCAGGGAAGCACCCAGTGTCTGGCTCCCCATCAAAATCAACACCAGCACCTTGTTGCAGGCAAGAAGTCAGAGGAAAGGGCAGAGTCCCTGCAGGGCTGAAGCCTAAGCTCCTGTGTGGCACTCACAAGTGGCAGTTCCTGTTACTCTCTCTTAAATTATGTGGGAAATCTTAAGGAAGGGCAATGGGCCTCCAGGAATACCTACGTCATAGTGACCTCTGCCCAGAGGTCATGTCAAAAAGACATGATGCAGAATTCTGAAGTCGACTTCCCTCTGGCACCTGGTATGCCCTTGCTCCTTTTCTGAGCCCAGCTCGTGGTACACCAGAGCCTTTGTGGTCCCCTGATTTCTGCAAGGTGTGGAATTTTCTCCAATAGTCACATTGACAAACGGAGAACTGGGGGCTGACAGGTAATTATAATTTTTCTCTCCCTTTTTAATAGTTTTATCTGTCTTGTTTGTTCATGTGGATGTTTTGATTTTAAAAACTTATTGCTGTTATTTTTAATTTGTATCATAAGAATGTTTTCTTCTATGGTATTTGTCATTCCAGTTTATAACCACAAAAGTACAAGGATTTTATTTCTATTGGAACCCCTACTACAGCTATGTTTTACTTTCGAACAGAAGTTTTATTTGTATAGGGTGCTTACTAATGTTACATAGTTTGGAGTATATAACATTTACATTAAGGACTCTTGGTAGGTTAAAACCCTAAAGGGTAAAGAGTTTAAAGGAAATAAATATTCAAACTGGTTCTTATTGCCAATTTTGGTGTAAGTGAATTTATGTTCTTTCAATTACAATGATAAAAATATGCCATATAATTTATGTAAAATTTATGTTTGTAGTGTACATAGTAGTTATCAACTCTTCTGACAGAAGTATATTTTAAAAGAATATACATGTGTTGAATCCATAACATCTGAGACTGCTGAGACATGAGTGGGGCATACTTCACTCTAAATTACAGTAAGGAAAGAAATTGTTTAACAGTATTAAGAGAGTGAGAGTGGCCAGGCTCAGGGGCTCACGCCTGTAATTCCAGCACTTTGAGAGGCTGTGGCAGGCAGATCACAAAGTCAGGAGATCAAGACCATCCTGGCCAACATGGTGAAAGCCTGTCTTTACTAAAAATACAAAAAAAAAATTAGCTGGGCATGGTGGCGTGCACCTGTAGTCCCACCTACTCTGTAGGCTGAGGCAGGAGAATCACTTGAACCCCGGAAGCAGAGGTTGCAGTGAGCCGAAATTGTGCCACTACACTCCAGCCTGGAGATAGAAGGAGACTCTGTCTTAAAAAAAAAAAAAAAAAAAAGAGAGAGAGAGTGAGCGGATATTCACACAATTGTGAAATGTTTATTAGTTACCTTTTGTGATGTAGTGTGGTTCTCATTTTAAACCTTAAAAGGTGAAAATGTACAAACTCTCTAAATATTAATGTTCAAACACTGACAGAAATTCTAATATGAATAAAAAGTAATATAACAAAAACCAACAATATATTTTATTAATTATGAATTTGGTTATTTTATTATTTATTCTAATGAATATTTAGTGATGGTTTAATTTTATTCACATATAGTTGCCATCAAAAGATTAACTCTTGGCCGGGCATGGTGGCTCACACCTGTAATCCCAGAACTTTGGGAAGCTGAGGTAGGTGGATCATCTGAGGCCAGGAGTTTGAGACCAGCCTGGCTACCATGGTGAAACTTCATTTCTACTAAAAACACAAATGTTAGCTGAGCATGGTGGTGGGCCCCTACAATCTAAGCTACTCAGAAGGCTGAGGCAGGAGAATTGCTGGAAGCCGGGAGGTGGAGGTTGCAGTGAGCCAAGATCATGCCATTGCACTCCAGCCCAGGGGGCCAACAGCAAGACTCTGTCTCAAAAAAAAAAAAAAAAAGGTTAACCCTCTCATAAAAACATTTTTGCTATTTTAACATTCTTTGCCTCTCATTTCTTTCTTTTTTGCACAACAGAGTCTTTACTTTTAAATTATCTTCAGTACATCAAGTAATTTTGATTAAGAGCAACTAACAGAAGCCTGAGCAATTACAATAGTAGTCACTGTTCTAAGCTTTGGAAGGAATGGACCCCTTTAGGGCTGGCTGCTGCTTCACACAGGTAACAAATAACTATTTACCACTTTTTCATTGATAAAGTCCTTGACCTTCAAGAAAGCATTAGAGGAAAAATATTTAATTCCTTCCTTTCTTCAAAGATTGTTTTCTTGTTGTTTTACTAGATCTAAAAAAAGAAAAAGTCAACACTGCTATATGTTACTTGAGCCAAAAGGCATAGGAAAACAGACGGCACATAACCATTAGATTCCTAAGAAACATGAAGTAAAAGGATGACATATTTAGCTGTATGTCTGCATAAGAAGCTGGGTTTGCTGCTCTTCATAAAGTGAAGGGACCAAATATACAATGTACAGAAATAATTAAATGCCTTCTCATCAGAATACAACTCGAGCTTTGCTGAAGTTTCTTATTCCATGAGGGCAGCTAAAATGCTAGTCCATGGAGCAGGCGCTTCTCATCCTATTCATTTATGCTGTAGTTTTAATGGATTTCCAGCCGGATGTTACAAAAGCCAAGAAGTTATCCATGTCCTCTTATCTGTTCTGCTGGAAGTAGGTCTGGAGGATAGTCACCTTGTCCTGAGTCTCCTCCACTTCCATGCTGCAGCTGCCTCAGGATCCCAGCACCACAGCTTCCTTGGCCTTGAACTCTTTCTCTTTCTGCAGGTGGCACTGTTCAATTTCAGCCTGAGCTGCCACTTTGGCCTGCTTCAGCCTCTGGTTCTTTTGGCTGCAGGCCTCTGACATCTTCTCAACAGCCTGCTTCTCAGTCCCCTGCGACTGACTAGCCATGACAGCGGTGATTCTGAGACCAAGGCAAGTGGCCTAAATCAGCTCAAGGGACCCTAGGGTCAGCTGACCCACCCAAAAACAGTCTGCACCTGTGCCTTGCCACCTCTCATTTCTTACAAGTCACCACCACAGAGCAGAAATGTTAGAAGTTACAGCACAAAGTGAGTACATTAAGTATTTTTACAATCTTTAAAATATGTCTTATAAGTAATGTTACACAGTGTGTTACCTATTCATATGTTATATCTTAACAGATGTATTTGGACAATCAAATTTCCTTCAGTTTAAAGATGGTGTTCGTATTTTTTCAAGAAGGTATTTTAAACCTGTTAGGGAAGTTTCTATAGTGTGGAACAACACTTCTTTATAAAGTGATATTTTATGTATGTCATTAAAATATCAAATCAGAAACTAGATCAAGCTCTGGTAAAACACTTCATTTACTTTTATATTATTTATATCTGATACATACTATAAATTATTTGCTGTGTTTGTGTAGATACCCTTAACTAAGAAAAATAGATATTTCTGAATATACTTTAAAACCTAGATTATCTTTGTACATTAACATTTATTTTAAAATAAGAAATTGGTAAGAACAACATGTTACATGTTGGCAAATCTAAGAGAGCTCAGTTTAACTCTCCATTGCAGCCCTCACAGAATCTACTCCTATGCTCACTGTACACAATTTCTATAAGGAGAGAGTCTGTTTATTCACCAACATGTAGCTAGTACCTGACACAGGAGTACATGTCACAGGGGTTTGTACATATTTCACTTAGGTACTAAACCTAGTACCTAGTTTTCTGTTATCCCCTCCCCCACATCCTCCACCCTCAAGGAAGCCCCAGTATCTGCTATTCCCTCCTTTGTGTTCACGAGTTATGTAGCTCTCATTTTAAATGAACATGGAGTGTTTGATTTTCTGTTCTTGTATTAATTTGCTATGGATAATGGCCTCCAGCACCACCCATGTTCCTGCAAATACGCAGGACCATTCTTTATGGGGCTATAGTGTTCCATGGTGTATATATACCACATATTCTTCACCCAATCTGTCATTGATAAACTCAGGTTTATTCCATGTCTTTTCATTTGTGACTAGTGCTGTAATGAACATTTGTGTACTTATGTCTTTATGGCAGAATGATTTATATTCCTTGACCCCTTCCCTTACAGCTGTATTACACAAAGTAAACTCAAGATGGATAGGGACTTAAATGTAAAACCCAAAACGAAAAACCCTGGAAAACAAAACAATTCAGGGAATACCATCCTGCACACAAAGCAACAGGTGAAGATTTTATGACAAAGACACCAAGAGCAACTGCAACAAAGTAAAATTGACAAGTGGGGGTCTAATTAAACTTATCAGCCTCCACACAGCCAAAGAAACTGAGTAAGACAACCTACATAACTGGAGAAAACATGTGCTAACCTATCTAACAAAGGTCTAATGCTGAACATCTGTAAGAAACTTACAAGAGGGAGAGAGATCCAAGATGGCCGTCTAGCAGCAGCTCAGGGTTGCAGCTCCCAGTGAAGGCGCAGGGAGTGAGTGGACACCAGACTTGCAGACGAATTTTTGATGCCTATGGACCAGGAGATTCCCAACGGAGGAGCCCCACGGGTCGCCAGCGCAACTCTCTTGGCCGGTGTGGCTGTTTTGCCAGTGTCCTGGCACGGCAGTTCTCGGTGCAGAGTATGTGGGACTGGGTGCCCTTTTAGTTGGCATTTAGCGCTCCAAGAAGGTAGAGTCACCCATTCAGCTGATTGAGATGGGGACTGAAGCCAGGAGCCAGACCAGGAGATTCCTGGGCAGAAAAGTGCCACAAATCTCAGTGCCTCTATTTCAACTGGCGTGGTCACCGCACAGGAAATTGCATAGATCCTGGCACATTTTTAGCAGGTGACTGGGGCACCTGGAAGAGAATCAACTGTTCAATTAGGAAAAGAATAAAAAGGGGCTCCGAGGTGGGGAGCCAGGTGATCGGGCTCGGCTGGTCCCTTACCCCACAAAAAATCAGCAATTGGAAACGCTTATGGTTGAGAGTTTCACAGCAAGCACAGCTGAACCCAGGAAGGTCCAGCTCTGTGGGGGAAGGGTGTCTGCTGAAGGAAAACTAAGAAACAGAAATAACATCACCACCAACAAGCTGGACGTCCACTCAGAGACCCAATCTGAAAGTCAGCATTTACAAAGATGACAGGTCGATAAATCCACAAAGAGGGGAAGAAACCAGCACTAAAAGGCTGAAAACATCCGAAATCAGAATGACTCTCCTCCTGCAGGGGATCACAGCTCCTCATTAGCAAGGGAACAAGGCCTGATGGAG